ATGGAGCTGTGGTCTTTGGGAGAACAAGGGCAATCTGCTTCAAGACTCTCTGACAAAGGCATTGCCCTCCTTGCAGATTTCCATGATGTAGTGAAGTCTTAAATTCAAGTCTCTCCCATCAGGTGGAATTATTTCACGACTGCTGAGTTAGCGGAGTTCCCATCCCAATATCTCTCTCAGCAATTTTCTTTTAATTTTTTTTAAGGGATGGGATCTGTCTGCTCAGCAATGTTATTTTATAAGTATACATGTGCCAGAGACACTGGATGAGAGAATAGAAGTGGGGTGACAGCATTTTACAAGATAGGAGTAAGAGACATTGGCTGCTGTTTCTGAAATGCATCCTAAGACATAAAAAGTTTTCCAGTATAGATATTCCCAAAAAGACAGTATCTGGGTTTGGGCTTTATTTAAATGTTGTTAGCTTGTGAGAATTCTGTAAAATATAAGAGGAAAGTAAACTATTGCCTTAAGCCTCAATGAAAGTTACATATCTACAAACAACAGAGGCAAAGCAAACAACTTCAAGACAGTAAATAGACTTTGGGTGAGGTGTACTGTTATATGTCCTGAGAAATCATAAATAAAGATATGAACCATAGAGCAGAATTGTTGTCCTGTAAGCCTGGCTCCACCACAATCCATGGAGTAGATATTTCTTCTGTGTCTGTTCTAGTGTCTCTTCCATAATATCAAGCCCACATGTTGGCTTGCATGTTCCATGCATTTTAACAATGGTGACTGATCTATGCAGAACTGATTGGCTGAAAGCCTCATAGCCAAGAAACTGCAGTCTTTATTTGGTGCCCTCTCCATGGACAAAGAAGCAAGGAAAGCTAGAATTAAGCTTCCTGTAGAAGTCAAAATAAGAAAACTAACATTAAAGAGTAGATGGCAAATTCAAATTTTTGGAGACAAGCACACATTGTAGGATGGCTTCCTTCACACATGCAAATCTGTGATTTCTCTGTTGACTTTTCCATTATATCCACAATTTTTTTAATGCAAAATCAGAGGTTGCTACTGTCCGTGGTGTTTGAGTGACTTTGGTTGTCTTAACAGGAGAAAATCTTGAGGAGTTTGCTCATGGGGTATGAAGTGTGCAGCAGGATAGTCAAATATTTTGAGAGATGAACATTTAAGTGACTACAAGAAGAAGAGCAGCCCTGCTGGTAATGAGCCACTCCTTGCTTGTGGGCCCCTGGAGGAATGAGTAAATACACTTTTGTAGGGAGGAACCCTACCAACTTGTCATTCTCCAGGCAGGATTTTGTTGATTAGAGACAGCGGTGAGTTCATGTGACTTGGAAGGAGACCAAGTTTTCAGGATTTCTAAATCCTCAGTCTAGTACCAGACTGTGATCAGAAGAGTGATATTGAGGTTCACAGCTGACTCCAGATTTCTTCTCAGGCCCTTTGCAGTGTTTGGTTTCAGCATCAGATAGAAAAAATCAAACTCGACTTTAGTTTAGAACTAGATGGGTTATCACAGTGGGTATGGCCAAGCTGTAGTAATGAAAAGCACACCAACACCTGTTAGAGCATTATGTTAATATTGGGAAAAGTAAACTGCAGTCTGACTTTAAATCAAATGTTGAAGCATGGAATAAAGTTCGTCCACTTGGGCAGTTTATCCATTACCTTGAACTGCCCAGAGGCATGAATGGAGAAGCACTGAATTGTCAGCCTCTGTTACAAGAATTCTGGCAAGAAAATATAGGTGTAGTCAGTTCTGGAAGTCCCAAAACCCATTAACTTTTGCCAGTAATTTAACCTGATCAGAAATTACTTGTCCCTAAGTGCCGAGATTTTGCTACTGTTGCTAGCGATTAAATTAAGGCCTACCACACTAACTTAGAAACTTAAGGTTTGTGAGGTTTGTAACCTCACAGTAGATTGCTGATTTCCAGGGGGCTTTTTTTTTCCTCCTTGGAAGAGGTCCAAACATCTTTTCATCCGTTTGTTCCAGTGGGTGAGTCTTGGCAGAACCTGGCATAGCCAGGAACAGCATAGTGACAAGCCCTGCCTCTCAACAAATACAATGTGCTTGAACCAATTTACCTATGGACCCACCTTCGTGTGGCTTTTGGCTCCAGTGCTGCAGGCACTAGAGAGAACTGAGTCATGGTTATGGCAGAGGCATCCATCACGACACAGCTGCCCAGTGAAGTACAGAACCATGTGAACTCAGAGCTGAAAGCAATGTAGATGCAGCAAAAGTCTTTGCAGTTTGAGCAGCAGATGTCTTTCCCCTATGTCAGTAGTGAGATACTTGGCATCTGCCACAGGTTTTCTGTGTAAATTTGGGTGAGTCATTTCATCTCTCCCTCAATTTTGGTCTGTATTGTTCATCCAGGCTTTTAGGACCACAGATTTTTTTCTTTCTGGGAAGAGGGATAGTCCTTCACTATCAGGTTGTTTCAATCATTATTGTAGCCTAGATAACTTAGATACAGCTATTAGTTTCTCTTCAGCTTGTGCTGAACAAGAGGTACCATCCAGAAGAGATGAACAATTTGCCATAATGATGATTATGTTAACACATATTTCATAGAGCGCTAGATTCAAGACCTTTTGAGATCCTACCACACCTACTTCAGTGAGGCTTTGTTCCTCTGCATGGCTTCTGAGAGTTGTTGCGACACATATAATTAAGAACAAGAAATGTTTACCTGAGGCTTAAAATTCTGCGAGACCATAATATAGTACCAGCATTCTCCACCCATCTAAGCGCTCCCAGTGTCGTGAATGGAGTGACACACCTCCCTTGTAAGAGGTAGCAATGTTTATTGACATAAACCAGAGTTTTAACAAAGTTTGATAGTAAATGTGACAGTGCTTTAACAAACTTCGATGGCAAGGTACACTTGATTATTTACTGCACAGAGGGCAAGACGAGACAAAACTGTCAGAGAGACCCTCCAGTTGAGTCATGAAGTTCATAAAGGACCTCCTTGTATTTTAAACCCCTTTCTGAGGGGTTTCTATGTGTGGCTGAATCCAGACCTAGTTCCAGGCTTCATCAATGGTTTATGTCTAAAGGATTATATGTGCACAAGCAATACTTTATCTCGCTTAGCTAAGATTTCAAAGTTTCAGTGTGCTTATTCCCAATTCACTTACTGAGTATTTAATGCAATAAGGATTCCCTCAACCTCGGAGAGTAACCTTGAGGGGCTTCCCTATTCAAGGGGAGATCCTGGCGTGCAGCCCACTGCCACACAGGAGAGCTCAGCAGACCCTGGGCTGTTCCCTATTTATGGAGTAAGATGATTGACTTACAATAATACTTGCATACCAGCTGTATTTTGGTTGGCGCATGCTCAGCTAACCCTCTGCTGTTGAGTAAGTTTTATGGCCCTTAGCTATTGTGTTATTATCTGTCTTCCGAGAGTCCAACTTAAGCCAGGTGCAGCCACCACAGCCACTGCCGTTAGCTATCGCTTAAGCCAAAAACAGGGGTGGAGGGCGGGGGGAAGTGCACTGCCACACCCAGTGAGCTCACCCTAACCATCCCTTCTGCGTAGGACCTTCTTCTATACCATTAAAATAATTGGGAGTTTTGCCACTGATTCCAATGGCAGAGACTTTAGATCAGTATCAGAGCATGCTAGTGATGAGAAAGATGTGTAATTAGATGGAGGGGGAAACTTTTCTTTCAGTCCCTCACAATGGCTCAGAAATCCATTGAAAATGTTAGCAAGAGGCCTTTTTATTTCATTCTGGAAAAATCAAGTATATTTATTTCTTGTAATAAAATATTCTAATGGTAGTAAAGAGTGAAGTTCTAGAAGGAAAAAATTGATTTCTCAGCTAATTGAGGAGAGAGGGGGAAATTACAAATCCCTCGTTGCCTGTTACTGGTTGACTGGCAACATTTGGCCACAGAAAGCAATATGAACATAGTTTTAACACGCAGGTGGCTACAAGAGAAGGCCTGTGCTGTATGAAGCCCAGTATCTCCTTAAAGTCATCCAACCTACTTTTCAAATTATATTAAAAAATGAGTCAGACTGAAACTGTTGTTGATTGTCTGCTCCACTTCAGATAGTTGCATATTCATTTTAGCTTTAGAAAGAAGTTTGTGTCAGCATTTTCTGTTCCTTATAGTCACACTGGCTTTTCAAAATAGTTTTTGAGCTAAAAGTACGTTTCCTGAAATTCATACAGTGGTACAAAAAATACCTCTTTCCTTACTGCTGCCACACTGAAGCAGATGGTGAGTACTAAGAGTCAGAATCAGTAAGCAAGTAATTATTCAATGCTTGGATGCAGAAATGTAGCTGTTGGGTCAAAGTAGACTTCTACAAGGCAGGCTGTCATTGCGAGTTAATCTGAGTTCAGGTCCCCTTGAGTTAGCCCAGCAAGACTCCTGTAGTAGATTACATGAGAGGCACAGATGCCCTATTGCACATCCAGCTTGAGTTTCACCTGCGACCTCTGGCAGACTATCTACCTTAAGCTGAAAGGCAGTTCCAGTTCTGTGTTCTTCTGTGTGAACAGTAGTCAGACTAGGGATGACACCTATGTTATGCCTTAGGTTAGTAAAGACAAACTTGCAAAATTCATCACACACCTAATGTGCATTCTCACTAAGATATCCACAGTAACTTTGGCACACTGTGCCAAATTATATAAAATTTGGCAATTTTATACGTGGGGATATGCTGCCTGTGAATAATGCCAGCAGAGAACTATTTTAGTGCAAACTGGTCTCAGAAAAAGTTGATTCTGCAAATTACAAAGCAACTTTTGCTCCGTCTGAAGTCAATAGAAGCTTATTTCACTTTTCAAATTCACTTTAATTAACCTGGTCTTGACACTGTGGCACTTGCCTTGTTGTAAAGAAAATTGGTAGCTGTGAAAGATTAAAAATTTTCTAATTTGAGGTGGGAGGAAATGTAAGCTGCTGCTGAAAACCTTATCTTTTTAATAAGCAATAATGCAACCTGCTAATTTACTGTTATTGAGTTTCCTTCTCTTTTTTTTTTTTTCTTAAGCGGAATTTATGTCACCTGTAGACAGAAATAAGGAAAGTGGATTGAAAATGCCAAACCTCTGCAAATTTTGTGACATTAAAGTAACAACCTGCTCAAATCAACATCAGTGCAAGAGCAACTGCAACATCACTTCTATCTGTGAGAAGACTAGTGAAGTCTGTGTTGCTATATGGTAAGTTATTTCATCATACAGGTGGGGATGGCAGCACACCCTAATTCACCATTACTTAGTACTTTCCTTAATTGCTCTGATATTCAGAATGTCCCTGCTCCCTCACCAGGCTTTGCTCTCTCCTTTCCAACTCATATCTGTGGTCAGCATACTGAGAGTTGTTTGAGGTTAATAATTCTGATATAAAATGTTCTGGGGACTTTTTTCTTCTAAAACAGTTCTGTTGCAGCTTATGCTCTTATTGGAAAAGAGGCATGGTTTTGCTCAAACCAGTAAGCTGCATCCACCCACAGCACTCAGAGTAGAAACAGATCTGAGACTCAAGAGAGTATTGTGGTGACATTTGCTGAAGAAAGACAATTCTCTCATAGATTTCAAAGTGAACTAAACTGTAGATAGGAGGAGGCTATTATGTAGATAGAACAGGAGGCTTATTGCCATGTATAGGTAGAAATACTTTCTCTTAATGTTAAACAAAATTTTGTGTATTTAGTGACTTTGAAGTAGGCATGATGCCTTTTGTACAGCCTATGTCTTGATACAAAGAAATCAAGAGTTTATGAAAATTAGTTGTTTAGGATTTCTTGACTCTAAACTTGTGTTCCAGTCTAAAAATTGAGGTTTTACCCTTCCATAAATGGAAATCCAATCCTGCCAAGGAAAACAAGAAACACTCTTAATGAATTCATAACTGGACAAAAGGAACAGAACTGTGTGTTTGCAGCATTGCTGCTGATTTAGGAGAATAATTAGAAGCCCTTACCCAGAGACATAATTAATTCATTTCTTGAGGGATAGTTGTGTCCGTTGACTTGAAGAGATGTTCAGCGTAATTGGAAGTAGACATTTGATTTGCAGGATTCAGTCCAGTGTGCTGTTTTATATTTGTCCTGTGCTTCTTTAATAAGTGATCAGTGTCTATTAGTGCCATAAAAAGGGACTGTAGTGCAATTTAAGATATGTTCCGGGTTTTTCATGGTCATTTATTCAAAAGGCAAATGAGTTGAGAACTGTATTTAAAGGACTCTTGGCCTTTCAGTCTTTTGTCAATGAAATTAAATCTGTGGACCAGGACAGAATACAGGAATATGTTTCAGATTATCAGCTGATAGTGAGGCAACTCTAGCTTGCATCAGTTTTATTATTGGTATTGAGGTGGGATTTGTTTTCTCTTTGTTTAGGTTTTTTTAAAATATAAAGATAACTCCTTCAGTGCAGTGCAGAAATTGTGCTGATTGTAGGCTTAAAAAATAAATAAAAGGCCAACTCAATAGAAATTCCTCAGATTTTGAGGAAATAATTCTCTTTTTATCATAATTTCACACAGATTTTTACTGTCTGCTCAGTGACCACAAAACCCAAAAGTATGTTCCATAGTTCACAGCAGTTCATTGAACACTAGCTTGAATAATTCTGGATGAAATTTTCAAAGGCACTCTTCCAAGCTTTGTAGTAATATGATACAGGAATAGCTGTGCCATTTACAAATGTGAGGAGTCCAGGCACAGCCAAATCTGCCCCATTCAGGAAAGACAGAGAAGAATACATGATACTCTTTAAATACTGTTTATGTTTTCAAAAGAGGCAAATTTTGGGCAGGTGCAGTCCTGTCTGCTCCCTTTGTAAAATATTCCTTCTTTGACTTCAATTTTCTCCTTTTCATTTTCAGGAGACAGAATGATGAAAATGTGACCTTAGAAACAATTTGCCATGATCCCCAAAAAACACTTTATGGTCATGCTTTGGATGACTACAACTCAAAGAAGTGTTTGATGAGGGAAAAGAAGGAAGATGGGGGATTGATGTTCATGTGTTCCTGTACAAGTGAAGAATGCAATGATATGCTCATTTTCTCAGGTGGGTTTAATAATTTACCTTGCATTCCTACATTCCTTGCAACTGTGTAATACCAATGTACTTTGGACTTGCATTTTGTGGAGGAAAACTTATAGTGGCAGGACCTATTTTGGTCTCTTTTGAATCTTGCAAAATCTCAACCTTCCTTTTGTGTGTTCAGAGGATATTTCTTTCTGCCAGGCTGTCCTCCTTTTGAAATAAGTCTGATAGTCAGCTCAAGACATTGCACTTAAAAGCTGATGAAAGAGGAAAGCAAGATGTTTACATTTGTTCTGTTGACACACCAAAATGCAACATATGCTAATTACATTGTAAAACCTAAACTAGAGGCAAATGCTGTATTTAGGGTCTTGCCTCTTCTAAAAGGCTGTATTGCCGTAGCGTGTCATCTGCATATATAAATGCTACTGATAACTTGATAGGATGTGAAATTTAAGTCAGATTCTCTGTTGTAACTGACCATCTGCCCTTGTTCTGTGGTGGGCGTGAAGTAGCTAGAAGGTTCCTTCACAGGGGGATATGTTACCTCACTCTTACTATGGCAAAAGGAAATGTATGTGAGTTCAGTTAAACCAGGGAAATCTGACTATAGACCAAATCACAACTTGTCCCCATTCTACTTCAGGCCACTGCAAATACAGTAAAGGCAGTGCAGGTGTGTATAGGGATGGTGGACCTCATGCTGCACACATGGATGTGCATGGGTCCGCACACACACACACCTTGCTTTATTTTCTCCTGCCTGCTGGATCCCATAGTGATGCTTTTACTGAGACAAAGTCAGGTCTCTTGCAGGCAGTTTTGAGGCCTTCTGTGGAGAAATTTGTGTGCACACACTTCTAAAGAATTGCAGCACACAAAACTCATCCTCATCGCCTGTAAGTTCCTCAGACCAGGATATAATTAGATCCTCGTTACCTGAGATATCAAAGGGCTGGGGCACTGTTTCTAGTCCTGGAAAACATGGTGTGTGACTGCACTGAGGTGGACGACTGTGTGAGCGACTTCTAGCTCTCACTTCCCAGTCCTCCAAGAAGGCAAACTGGTTTAGGTCACAAAACCACAACAAATTAGCCAAGAGAAAGCTAGGAAGTCTTTGCTTCCCTTGGCCCAGTCTATCCATATCTGGTCCCATGCTCTTCCTTATTCCCTCCCCAAGCCTGATTTGAAACCAGACAACCTGATTGCTGACCTGTGGTTGTGTGACCAGCCCTTACTTGAGTGAGCTTTAAAGGGTTTGGAGTATATACTGGTATTGATGTGAGCACAGGGGGTAGATCCAGGACCTAATTCTAACAGATTGCCTTGATTTTTTTGAAGAGAATGTGTTCACAGTGAATAGATCTTACTCTGTGTTAGCTGTCTAGAGTTTTTGTACAGCATGAACCACACCCTTGTGGATTTTGGCTAATTTGTTATGAATTAGTCATTTTATAGCTGTTTCTCCTGGAGCTGTATAGCTGAAGGCAATCACTGTGATAAATGTGTGTCTTCAGTGTGCATGTTTATGAAAACCATTCTAGAAATTCAACACGAAGTGCCTTAATTCCCAGCAACTCTGCAGCCCCACTCACACTTCCAGAGTAGCCTAAAAGGAGTAGTATAAATTTAAACCCAGTCTTTTTACCCTAATTCCTTTCACTCTTCTGAGTGGAGCTTTTCCTTCTAGGTCATGTGCTGTAAGTACTCTAGGTGACTCATGAAAACCATGTGCTGCATTCATATGTATTAAGTGAATAACTACAGACAAAAATTAAAATAATGTAAAACTTCACTTTGTAACATTTCCAGTTCATTCACAAACACAGGCATTAACTCCAGTGGAAGGGGGGAGAATTGAGGCTTTGTCATTCCTTTTTTTATTGTTGTGGATTAGTGTTTCTTTTAAATGAAAACAGCCCCATTGGGTTGCTTGCCTGGTTAGCCATGGCAGGAAGACAAACGATTTTTACAGTATCAGACATGCGGTTTCCTGTCTGTGTTTAACTTTGAGCAGAACATCACAGCCAGCTGGTCCATGGCTCCTCCAGACAACTAGATAATAGCCTGTAATAATTTTGCCTTTGGAATGACTGTCATCCAAATCTATTCCATACATTGTTCTTGCCTTTTTTTTTTTTACTCTACATTTCTTGTCCACCAGAGCAAGAATTTTTTGCAGTGGTTTTGCATATTCTGTAGTTTCAGAGAGCAGACAAAAGCTACTCTAAAATAGCCGATCAAACAGTGATTTTACTCATTTATTAGCAGAAACTGAGATGATAAAAAAGATTGTAATTTTTCACCTGTTAATCACAGCATTTCCTTTCAAGCTGTTGCTATAAATGGTTAGTGTTCTACCTCTTCTTCCTGCATACACACTTGAGACATACCAGATTTAATTTGTTTCTGGTGTTTCTGAGGTAAGAAAGAAAATTATGGGTAAGGCAACAAGTTCTAATTTCCACCTGAGGTTAGTCACTATTTTTTAGTGATTCACAGTTGGGCTGTTATTGCTTATGGAAGAATTGGTTTATAGCACTGTTGGCTCATATCACTCTTGAATGTGAAGGGCAAATCTCATGATTCCATTTTTAGACACAAACACCTAAAGGTTTTGGGTACTGGGAGGTGTTGTGACTCACCTAAGCGTGGCTTTAGAAATGTTTGAAATAGTTACATCCAAATCAAATGCACCTAAACATGCCTGTAGTTCTGCTGTATCAGGGGGCTGACCGTGATTCAGATCCCTGGTGTTTCAGGCCACAGACACCTCATCGAAAATACTGTGTGCAGAATCACTCCAAACAATGTTCTATAGTTCTTGGAGAAATAATATACAGGAGATAGGTAACCATTGTAAATCTGATTACTGTGTGTTTGTTTGTTAATACATCCCCTTTTTGCCAAACAAAACTGTGAATGACTGGCAAGCAGCTTACAGCCCTGTGGTGGAAAAATGCTTCTCACAGCAAAACTCAATGCCAGTGTGTTGTAATTATTATTTATTCAAAAGTCAAATGTCAGTGTTACCCAAAGGCAAAGCCAGGGAGCAAAACCACTGGAAAAGATTAACTAAAATCAGGGTGAAAAGGCCCTGGGTGGCTAGAGGTTGACTAGGCAGCAGACAGAGGCCTGGCCCTACTGTCATGGAAAAAATGAGCACTAGACTACCAGGGTTTTTTCCTCCCTGATGTCTGGTTGTGTCTAGTGGATCTTCTACATCTTGCTTTACCTTCTTATGCTTTGACCTACTGTGATGAACCAGGTCTGTCTGCAGTTGTTTGCACAGTCTCAGTCCTCCCTTGATGTTTGGGAAGATCTGTTCCTCAGCCTTCCCTTTGCCACACCATATTCCAGCCTCTATTCATCAGCCAGTGCGAGCACGACAACTGTCTAACAAAGTTGGTTTTTATTAACAATCCTGAGTTCCTTGACTGAGGTCAAGGCTTGTTTACCGAAAAGGACCAAGCAGGACAGGGCCCTTTCCAGTCCCACATCTCACCCATTTTCCACAGGCAGAGATGACCAGGCAATCTTTGTAGCCAAGGAAATGAGATTCCTGCATATTACTAAGTGCGTGACCTACCTGCTATGCCATGCAACTTCTTCCTTTTATGCAGCTCATTCAGGCACTTTCATTCAGTGATGTGCAAAAGGGTGACTCAGCACTGGAGATTGCAAACAGGAAAACAAATACTTTAAATACTGTTGTCAGTATATATGCAGTTGTTATCCTGGGCATCAAATTCAAATCCAAGCAACAATGCGGAGAACTCAAAATCTGGAAACAGGATTTTAACACAGCTCTATTTGGTTTACAGTTGTTTCATTCTAATAACTTACATAGCGGTAATATTTTATCATCACCTGTCTTGCCATGGTATGCAGATCTTCATGCAGCTTGAAACCAAGGTGTCTGTGGGATTGTTCAGGTAGACTATATTTATTGCTCATGTCCTGCAAGATGAGGTCATTATTTTGGGCATTCCCACCTCACCCAAATACGGGAGAAATCTTTGGCAGCAACAATGTGTACAAATTCTGAATCATCCAAATAGTTGCCTTGGAGTATCAAAACTTCAGTGGTAGACATGAAAGGCAGGTCAACAAGAGTTTTTGATAATAATGAAGCTAACTGGGGAAGTGTGCCAAGGGAGGGAGAGTGTTGTGCTGCTAACAATCTTCACATTGATCATGGTTTCACAAAGTTGGCTAATTGAGAGTGTAAGAGATGTAAGTATTTGATTAATCAATTGTGGGTGAGTCATATGCCCGAACGAATTACAGTCTATGGATTTGCAGTGTGTCAAGTGGTGTGATTGCTCCCTTTGTATGGTTGTTACCTGGGAGAGCTAGTATTGTTCTGCTGCCTGAAGCACTGCAAGCATGCCTGTGCAATGCCTTGTCCTGTGCCCAGATCACAGGAGATATGGATGATGTTTTAGTTTCCTTAACTTGATGTCTCTCACTTGTCTCTAACATGTTGCCCCTGTCTTTTCCTTTCTTTCTCTCCTCTTCCTCTCCTTACTAGAGTCAAAATGTTAGTGATTTTACTTGACTACATAGGAGGATCTCAAACTTAAGAGCAGACTTAAGATCTGTGCACAGTCACGAGACCATAAATACTTGTGTGATGAGTTGTCCGGTGCTCAAGGAACAACAGAAGGGAGATGATTACAGCTGGACTGCTTCCAAGTGGATTTTAACAAAGGCTTTCATTAATCTCTTTTTCTGTTATCCAACTAACATGTTCAGAAGGTAACTGTCTTCCAGCTGCCCCATAAAAGAGGTCAGTAGCGTTACACAACGTGTCACACAGCCTCTCACCGACTGTATATTGGCTTTGTTCTCTATGTTTCCTCTTAGGTATTTGCAGGCACAAGAGTCCCACCCAGTGCCTGCAGCTGTGTGTAACCAAAGGAGAGGCTGTCTAATACTGAATGTCTGAATCACTTAGCAGGATAGAAAGGAAATAGAATGGAAAGAGGCTAAAGAAGCCAAAATTTTGGTTTGCTCTG